AAACTTTATTTTCATTTTAAAAGAAAAGACATAATGAAGATTAAAAAATAAATTTTCCAAGGATAAATAAATTAATCTGTGGAACTATTTTGAGTTTTATTATTTTCAATCAATGCACATATACAGGGTGTTAAAAGAAGATTGTAAAATATTTAAGGAGGTTAGTATGGGACAAAATAAACAAAAAAGTCTTAATAAACTGAGTCCGCAAAGTAACAATTTCGGAGATATTAAAAAATAAAATTCCCAAGGATAAATAAATTAATCTGTGGAACTATTTTGTGTAGTTTAATTATTTTCAATCAATGCACATATGCAGGGTGTTAAAAAAAGATTGTAAAATATTTATGGGACAAAATAAACAAAAAAATCTTAATAAACATGAGTTCGCAAAGTAAGGGTTTTGCAGATATCGAATGTAAAAAATTTTAGAATTTCTACTAGAAGCTTCTCTTTTTTGTTTGAACAGATATTGCAAATAAATGTTTCAAAAAAACGAATAATTTTTGATATCTTCAAAACCGTTACTTTGCAGACACATGTTTATTAAGACATTTTTGTTTGCTTTGATTATTACCTCCTCAAATATTTTACAATCTTTTTTTAACACTTGTATACATTAAACCACTCGGAATTTTTCGTTTTTCACCAGAAGATGTAAGTCAAAATTTCTAAATCTAAATAATCCAGTTCTAGTTTAATTTTGAATTTTTCTCAATGAAAAAATTTTAAGTATGTAAATTATAATGAAGACTTAGTTACTTTCACGCAATAAATTCTAAAGTCTATAATTCTAAAAAAAAATAACTAAAATATATCATAAAACTCTCGGGTACTAAAAATCAAAGTTTTAGCGAGAAAACTTTTTCCATTTATTAAAAATAAAAACTGTTTTTGTGACTTTATCATTAACACACGTATCGACACTCAAAATTTTCATGCTTTTAGAGTAAGAACTTTATAAAAAAATTGTATAAATATAAAATCATTTTGTAAGAAATATTATTCAATTGCAACATTTGTTTTTCCGGCTGGAATTCGGTTCTAATCCTGAATTTTCAGGTTTTCTCACGTAAAAATGTGATTAATTCCGGTAATCAAACTACTAAAATTATTCGAATAAATTATTTTTAATAGTTGTATTTTAGAAATTTTAGATAGAAAGAAATAAAGCAATAAGAAAACAAAAAATAAATTATTCCTATTAGAACAAAAAAATACTCCAATAGCTACACGTGGAATTACACGTGAATGTATGTTATTCGTCAATAACTTTTCAACTACCCGGAATTTTCCGGTTTTATCGACTAATTTTGATATTGTAAGTATTTTATTTTGTCATTCATCCAGGGATTGTTTTCCCCGATATGTAATTTTTTAACCCTTATGTTCAAAAAAATTTCCAACAAAAAAAACACATTGATCTAATTATATACAGTGTGATATAATTATAATGGAAACACCTTAAATTTGACAAATCTTTAAGTTTAATTGTGTTGATGTATTTTATACAGACTGTATTATAAAAAACGCCCCAAGCCATAACTCTTTTATTTTTGAAGATATAAAAAGTTAAACAGTTTTTTGGCATCTATTGTTTGGGACAGCTGCTTATTTAATACTGCTTTCTGTTTCACCGGAAGTGACATTCATTTCAGTTTTTTAAATGTATCACCCTGTATATTTTTATTATTTTTGAATTCCTCATTAAATAGTCTTCTAACTTTTGATTTTAGACAATTTAAAAATTAAATTAAATAAAGTGGAAAGAATTTTTATTCATTTTATCTAAGAGAAGCAAACGATTGATAACGAAAAACTGTTCAACTTTGAGCAATAAAGTATTATAACTTCTTTAAAAGTAATGAAATTATAGCTTGGGGCGATTTTTATAATACAGCCTGTATAAAATTTCAAAAAAAAGTGATAAACAAGAAAAAGCAGAAATTCATATTTACTGAGAAAATTTGAATCGTTGATGAGATAAAAATTAATAAAAAAAGTTCAGTACCCCCTGATTTTCGTCGAAATAGGTGTGGAAAATCATCCATGACAGAAAAAAAAATCCTAAAAGTTTTTATCGTGATTGGATCACCCCCAACGGCATCATCAATAATAAATGACTTCCTAGCAGGTGTTTTATCGGAATATTATCGTAAAATTGATTTCTTTGATCCAGGACATTGTACTCACTTATTCATAAATAATATACAACTGCATGTTTGCATTCGACTCAGGGTTCAAACCCCCCCTGAAATGCTGAGCACTTTGTTATATAAGTGTTAAAAATTTAGTTTTTTGGTTATTTTAGTGAGTTAATTTTAATTTTTTGTGAATTAATTTTTCATGTGTTAATTATACAGAGTTTCATTTTTATTGTTAGGTACAAATTTAAATAGTTGATAGAATATTTAATTTTAAGACAAAAGTGTTTCGAAAAATGCTATGAAAGTGAGCTAGGCCCCCTAAAAAAGGTACGTTTTTTAAAGGGTTTATCCTAATATTTCAGAATACATGAAATTACAAAATTTGGTACCTTTATATGTACCTAAACAAATGCCAAATAACAAAATTTTTAATCAGAGGCGTCCTAAACGGTAAAACAAATTTAATTTTTAATTTTTATGGTCTGTAACATAAATTTTTAAACCGATTTTTACTAAAAACCCGTAAATTGTATCGGAGAAACACAAAAGACCTCTTTTTATGAAAAACTATGAAATTTTGTTGCTAAAGTGGCAAGAAACCACAGGCAAAATAGAGAAAATTTTTACCCTAATCCCATCTAGTTTAGGAAGCCCCTAATTAAAAATTTCAACATTTTATTTTTGTACTTGTGTGGGTGTATAAAAGTTATCATCTGTTCCAAATTTTGAATTTTTTTTCTAAAATGATTTCGGAAATATAAAAAAAACTATTAAAAGACGCACCCCTTGCGTAGCATTTTTCGATGTATGTTCATAGGAAATTTTTGTTTTAAAAATGAATATTCATCTCCTGTTTAAATTTGTAACAATAAAACATGTTTTATTTTTTGTTACTTTTGTGAGTTAATTTGATTATGATCTCTTATTTTAATTTAAAATAAAAACGTGTACTTAGAAATTTTTGATTTTTAATCCGCCTTCTTTCATTTCATTTTCATGGACCAACAAGAAACCCCCTCCGAAATAAAATCCTGGTTACGGCCCTGATTCGACTCTCTTATTGTCATTTAAGAGAAATGTTGAACATCAATTTTTTTGTTTACTCACTATTACGCAAGATACTTTCTACAGCAAAACTCATTATTATTAGTAAACGCAAACCAGCGTTTCAAAAATAATTACTCATTTTAGTCGAGAGAAATGTCGGTCAGTACAGATTTCTGTTTTTTACTCAAACAAAAGCGAAACTGTTTAGCAGCGAGTGATGACCCATAGCCACCCAACAAATTACAAAAACTAATCTCCAAATTGTGTCACAACACAAAAGCTTTCCCAAAAATCAATCCCTAGTAAAATCAATACTTACAAATATAATAAAATTGAAAGCGCACAAAATATACTTGGCCAAACACGAGCCACAATCGTACACCATTTTGCGGTTCTTCTTTCACCTTCTTCCCATTTACAGCATCTGAAAAAAAAAAACGTCAATTATGACACAACGGTCACTTATTTTTTGTTATTTGAGCTTCCATTCGGATCACGTCCATCAGTTCCGATAAATACCGTATTTGGCTTACTTTCAAATTTCACCTATTTTTTTTTCTTGCATAGAATAAGTACATAATTTTATACTCGAGACATGAACTTTCTAGCCATATTAACTTATAATTTAAAAAAAAAACACTTTTGCGAATTTTAATTACGGTAATTGTGGTTTTTAGCATGCAAATGATAATTTCGAGGAAATGAGACAGAAATTAAACTTGTCGAATAATTAATTTCAAGCTAATAAGTGTGTCAAGGGTTAGCGTGTTTTTAGGGCTAGACCTCACAACTCTTTTTTTATTTAACAGTTTCTTAATTATATCAGGGTAAATATGTACACAGTCTTTAATTTTTAAGCTAAATTTTTTAGGACACTTATTTTTGGTGGTATGTATAGCATCTTTGATTTATTACACTATACAGGCTGTTTCAGAACTCGCACCCCTGAAAAAAGTCCAAGTACCAAAAAAATATACCAGGAACATAGAAAAAATGTTTTTTGCAAATACGGATATTTTTCTAAACAATGTTCCAAAAATTGTTCTCTTGTAAAAGAAAAAAATTCTCGATTTAAATTTTTATTTTTTGGGTTGCAGCCTCGCTTGGTTAAAGATTCATTTCTAACATAATTTTAGTTTTGAAAAATCAAATATGCCTCGGAAATTTAAAAAAAAAACTTTTTTTCTGAAGATGCATTTTATGTAGCAAATTCGACAAAAAGTTATTAAGAAAAGTTGTTAGAATCAACAAATTTCAAAATCATTGGTCAACTAAGATTTTACATTTTTTTATGTTTATTATTTCATAAATCAAAGAATTTTATTTTTAATGGTTCTTTTATAATAAAAAAAAATTACACATAAATTAACTTCTTGACTATCTGTTACTAAAAAGCAACTATCTTGGAAAAAAAATAAAAAAATCATAGTCACTGACGATTTTGAAATTTGGTATATGAGCCTAAATGTTTCTAAGCTGCTTTTCCTAATAACCTTTTGTTGTATTTGCCACATAAAGGGCATTTTACTTTACAAAAAAATTGTTTTTTGTGAATTTCCTAGGCATACTTACTTGATTTTTCAAAACAAAAATTATGTTAGAAATTAGTCTTTAACGCTTTAACCAAGCAGAAATGAATCCCAAAAAATGAATAAAAAGTCGTTTCATTTATCCTGAAACAAACTGTATAACAAATATAATTCGGAAAACATCTTTAAAAAATTGTGAATGAATTTTTGGAAGAAAAAAATTTTCAAATAAAATTTCCAAATACACAGAATTTTTTTTCAAACATTTTGAGCTTAATAGCACTCAAACTAACCTCCTCAAGAAGTCAAATCGGGCGCTAATTTATTATAAATCAAAAAATATTCCATTAAATCTTCATTATGAAACACAAAAATTGAAAAACAATTACTATACAAGAATAAAGCTCCAAACAAATCATTTTTTTTTAAACATTAAAAAAATAATCACCTTACAAACACCTGACTAATTTAAAGAAAAATGACAAAACTAGGAACCACATGTTTTATTTACTCTTATTATAAACCACAAATTTTACAATTACGCTCGAAAACTGTGGTTTCACAAAAAAAATAAAATTTTCATGGACACCCTAGTAAAATCGGTTGGGGATAAATAATCCAAGCACATTATTCCATTCAAGGTAGCATTGATACCAAACTTGCAAAAAATTATTGTTAACACAACAGCATGCATTGTTTGAATTTTAAATTTTGTACGTGAGGGTTTTTTTAACACCTGAAATGGAACACAGATAAAAATCTATTTTGATTTAAGACATGCAAAAAACACGCAATAAGTGTTAAAAAGTTTTAATCATTGTAAACAACAGCAAATTGTAATTTATCACAAATTCTGCACCCACTCGTAAGAACGTATAAAACAATTGGTTTTTCCTTTTTTTTGAGTAAAAAAAAGTTAGATAGATAAAATATTCGTGAGTAGACATTTATGCAATTAATGTTTTAGCAAACCCACACGTCAAACTCATGTTTACATTAATTGTTATTTAATTACGTATAAATGTGTTAAGTAAGCAGTCTATATCAATTATTATACCTACATACTCGACTCAAGTCACATTAATCGATTTGTGATTATTTACAATACTTTCTTACATTTACAAAATAAAAGCATTTTGATTGCAACGGTAACGACATCTGGTAATGCAATTTAGCCATTAGGTACACTATTTATGAAACAAACAAGAAATTTATGTAGGTTTTTAATTTAATAATAATAATTTAATAATTTTTGCTACTAAACAAATACAAAAACAAGTAAAAATTTTGTAATCTAGGGCTATCAAAACAAAAATCTCAAACTTTCTCTTGAAATGCTATTTAAAAACCTTGACTGTCCAGTCACATTGTCGGCACCTGCTCTTGGCTGCATTTTATAATGGAATGTAGGTAGTTTTTCATTTTTTTTTTTAATGAAAGGTAAGTGTACTGCCTGTCAACGACAGGCATGAAGAGGATCCTTTTTTTTATAGAAGAGCAGATGTTTCTTACATTTCTACCTGTTATATACCCACCACGTGTGATATTTATAGATACGTCAAAGTGGGGTAGTGTTCAAATAATGAAATCAAATGAAGAAACCTCCGAAAAAGTTTCAAGTAAATTAATTATGCAGATTTGCGATAAACTTCCCCTTTTTAGAAAATAAATGATTCATTCTTATTGTGTACTCGCAGTCATGCAGTGACCATAAAGACTTTTTTACGCAAAATAATTTACATAATTAGCTCTCCTCAACCGTTTTGGACTATGCACATACGCAAATTAAATTAAAGTTTTCTTAATTTTCAATGAAAGCAATCAAACGAAATTATGACCTTGCTGAAGCGTCAACCAAGGACGGTATTCTCACCTGAATCAAATACCAATAAATCCAATATTACTACAAAAAAAAGTAAACAAACCAATTAATTTTGCAAATGTTCCCACAACAATTATTTAAACATTTATTTACCAATTCTTTTGATTAATTCATGCTTCCTTCCTACCTTGTTATTACCAATTTTCACGTGCGTTACTCACCAATTAATTTATCGCTGAATCCACAATCAAGTTGTTGCCTCCTATCTCATGTTTAATTAATCCACAATAAAATTTTCCAAAATCAAAGGAGGAAACACTACATACAGATCAGCTCATCTAAAACTACACCGACAACACGACTAACATCGAATTGACTCAACAACAACCTAACTGCTTTATAAATACACGAGTGACTCCGGCGCGACTGCGTCCATTCCTTTTAAATTCAAACACTTGTTGCATCCATTCGAGCAAATTAACACGTGTTTAGTAAAGTAAGATATTTATCTTGAGATTGTTAACAACTACGACAACAAACTAATATCTGAATAAAATTAAAAGAAAAAAAAAGTTTTTGTACATTTTTTTCAAAACACATTTTTGTT